TCCTTCCTTCCTTCCTTCCTTCCTTCCCTCCCTTTCTTTCCTTCTTTCTTTCTTTCTCTTTTCTTTTCTTTTTTCTTTTCTTTTATTTCTTTCCTATTTAGTAAGAATCACCAGGGAGGGGGGAAATGTATATAAGGCTAAACAGGGAAACACAGCTCAGATGTCCCTGCATGGATATTCCCAGTATTTAATAAAATATGCATACTTTAATGAATATATGTGCTTAAAGTGGAGTACAAACAGAGTTAAATTGGAGATCATTTAATTACTGTTGCTAAAACTGTCGTTTACTCTTATCAGACCATACTACAAAAGAGAGGGGGAGAGGGAGAATAACAGGGCGAATTTTAAAATTATTGTTTTAGCGCAAGTGTGAATTTAGAGATCATGCACGTACTTGGGGAACGGCTTTCCAACAGCTGAGATGGACAGTTCATGGTCTTTACTGTCTCCTTTCTTGGAAAGTGCTCATCTGCAGCGTTGTTCAGACAAATGTATTTTTACGATAACTGCTACTAGTAAAGCCATATATTATTACAAATTCTGTTGCATGGACTCATTGGAGAATTCCCAGGCACATAGGATTTTTCAGTATCAAATAAGACTCCGAGACAAAAATACAGCATGATCTCCCGGATTCCTCTCTCTGTTGCTGAGAGACAGACAGTAAGCCAACCATTTTTACCAACTGCAGATCTAAAAGGGTAACCCTGACATTTGGGGAACTGGTTCCAGCCTTCCACCCATCAAGTCTTTTTCAAAGAAGAGCAGGAGAGTAGAGTCTGTAGTATGCAAGCATCAATTCTGTAAAAACTGATAATGTGTAGGAACTTTCTCCCGGTAACTGCTTTCTAACCCAAAGGTAGGTCCACAGGCAAAAGAAAGTAGGTTGAAGCCACCACAATTCCTACTTGGCCAATTCTAAAACTGGGGTTGATAAACAGACCACTTTCAAGCGATCTGCCTCTCACGGAGAGACGTGAGAGCACTCACTGTGGGAATTTCCCAGTGCTAAATCGCGATGTTGGTCTTTTAGACTGTTGATCACACGGGTGCTTCTGTTCAGCAGCAGGGACTTCTATTATATTCTGCTCAAGATGCAAACATTTATGCTAAATGTTGCACTCAGGGATAAATGATATATACCCACAGATGACATCATGGCTCATAACCAATTAGTGTAGGTACCATGTGCGGGAGAGCTAGCTTTGGCTGAAAGCGTCTGCGCCTTGCTTATGGTTCATGGCTCCCCAAATGGCAGGGATGAGGCCAGTGGTAGAAGGAAGGGCTTAGCCAAACACAGCTCTTGGTGTTCAGGGACCACAAACCCCATTTCAGAAGCAGAACTGACCTGGCATGCCACTCCCTCCTCAGATTCTGGCGGGTGGCGAGCGAGGCAAGAACGGCAGTCAAGATCTCGTTCCTTTGTTCCACGGGGACCCCCTCTCTCCTAACTTCACGAAGCACAGCATTTGTCTAGAAGAAATGGTCCAAAAAAGAGGAAAAGTGAAAAATTAATAATAAAAAAAAAAAGCCCATAAGCAAATAAGGACAGTAAATCAATGGCTTTTTTATTACAGTCCCCCTGCTAACAAATCAATACAGTAAATGATGGTCAAAAATGGCCAGCGTATATTTTGTATTTAATCAATGTACCAAGCACATAAGGTAAACTCCAAAAGCCCCATTGCCTTAAGTAACACATTGAGATACTGTGTGTTCTCACTCAATTTCCTCAGTGCACCAAAGGTCTTTTTCCTGGGAACGGCCTCCCATGAGCTATTATTAGAAATGATTTTCACGTACACTTCACTGTGAGTTGTTTGTTTTGCCTTTTAAAAAAGAGCAGTCTCTGACTTTCGCTCTCTGTTTCCTGCCGCCCAGCTGAGGATTTCTGCACTGCCACTCGTATTTGAATCATTAATTTCTATTTCCAGCCATGCCAGCAAATTTTTCTTTTCTTCTTTTTTTTTTTTTTTTTTTTTT